TGGATTCTGACTCATATCAACACTACAGGAAAGGGTAAAACTGCCCTTGTGTTTCTGAGACTGTAACTCTTTACAGGAGTAGAAAACAACCCCACCTTTCTCAGGAGGAGTGGCTGGTTTTGAACTGCTGAACTTAGAGTTAGCAGCCCAACTCATCACTACTATGCCACTAGGGCTTAGTCAAAAATAAGGCTCCGAGACTTGATGGAAGGCCAATTAAAATGTTTCAACAAGCTGAGGAAGCACTGGGGACATTTACTTGTCTATGCTAAGAAATTTAGAAGACAGCTACTTGGCCAACTGCCTGGAAGAGAAGATCCACATTTGTACCCTTTCCAAAGAAAGATGACCCAACAGAAAGCTCAAAGTGTAGAGCACTGTCATTGATATCACATGCAAATAAAATGTTGCTGAAGTTCATCCAACAGCGGTTGCAGTAGTACATTGACAGGGAGCTACTGCAGGTTCAGGTCAGATTTGGAAAAGGTTGTGGAAGAAGGGCTATCATTGCTGACATCAGATGGCTCTTGTGTCAAAGCAGATAATACCCTAATGATGTTTGCTTGTGTTTGACTGCATATGACAAGGTATTTGACTGTGTGGATCATAACAAGCTATGGATGACCTTGAGAAGAATGAGAATTTCAGAACACTTCATTGTGCTCATCAAGAAGTTGTGTGAGCAGGACAAGAGAATACGGCATGGCTCAAAATCAGGAAAGATGTGCAACAGGTTGTACCCTCTCACCACTCACATTCAATCTGTCCGCTGAGTAAGTCATCAAAGAAGCTGGATTATATGAAGAATGTGGCATCATGATTGGAAGGCTTATTAACAACTTGCAATGTCTATGACACAACCTTGCTTGCTTAAAGTGCGGAGCACTTGAAGCACTTGCTGATGATCAAGGATTGCAGCCTTCAGTATGGATTATGACCAATGTAAAGAAGACTAAACGCCTCACATTTGGACCAATAGGTAACATCATGAGAAATGAAGAAAAGGTTGAAGTTGTCAAGGATTTTGTCTTCCTTGGATCCACAATCGATGCTCATGGAAGCAGCAGTCAAGAGATCGAAAGATGTGTTGCATTGGGTAAATCTGCTGCACAAGATCTCTTTAGAGTGTTGAAAAGCAGTGAGGTTACTTTGAGGACTAAGGTGTGCCTGATCCAAGCTATGGTATTTTCAATCATCTCATATGCATGGAGAACTGAAGAAGAATCTGTGTATTTGAATTGTGTGGAAAATCTTTACAGTACCATGAGTCCAGACAGACAAACAGATCTGTCTTGGAGTAAGTATGGCCGAAGTGTTTCTTAGAGATAAGGATGGAGGGACACTGTCTTTGGACATGTCAGGAGAGAACGGTCCCTAGAGGACATCATGTTTGGTGAAGGGGAGGGGCAGCAAAAAAGAGGAAGGCCTTCAAGGAGACGGATGGACACAGTATGGACACAGTGGCTGCCACGATGGGCGCAGGCAGAGGAACAACTGTGAGGCTGGTGCAGGGCCCGGCGGTCTTTTGTTCTGTTGTGATTTGGGTCGCTATGGGTGGGAAGTGCCTCAAAGGCAACAGCATGTTTGTGCCTGTTTTCACCAAAAGAAACCTGAAGAACATTTTCGATTAACAAGGAAAAATAAAACTCATACTCAGCATTCGTTTTGCAGTTGTTAGAGGTAGCTTGCACTCTGAGCAGTGAGGATTTTGCCACCAAGCTTCTTTCCAAGGAACTTGTGGGCAGGAACTTCCGTAGCTCTCAACAGCATGTTAGTGCTGTGTTGTGTTAGTTGGTAGGGTGTTTTGGGGGTCTGAGAATGCTCAAAATGTTCCCCATCTTAATTAATGTTAATTGGTTTCCTTTAAGCTATTTCAGCTTATGAAGGTTTTCAAGGAGCACTGTATTTCGGATAGTGGAGGAAGAGTATATTTCACTTTATTTGGTGCTAATGTAAATGCTGTTGTTTTAAATTTCCAATTCCAATTGGTATAGAAAAGCAATGGCCTTGTATTAGCCTCAGATTCTGCAACTTTGTTATTGGTTGTTGTTAGGGGCCATGAAGTTGGCTCCATCCATAGCAACCCAATGCACAACAAAACATAACACTGCCCAATCCTGCATTATCCTCACCACTGGTCCTATGCGTGAGCCCACTGGTGCAGCCACCGTGTCAATCCATCTCTCTGAAAGCCTTCTTTCTTTTTTGCTGTCTCTCCACTTTACTAAGCATGATGTCCTGCTCCAAGTACTGGTCTCTCCTGACATGTCCAAAGTACATAGGATGAAGTCTCGCTATCCTTGTCTCTAATAATTCTGGCTGCATTTCTTCTAAAGTTGCCACCATTGCTTATTCTTTCATTTGATTTTATGTGTTTTGAATTTAAGAAAATTTCTACATATATGACCATATCAGACAATAATCGTCCATTTGTAACTGCCCGAGTTCGTGACTTTTCAAGGTTCATCCCTATTGCAGCATGTATCAGGATTTTGTTCTCATCCATTCCTAGTTTACTGTTTTTATTTTGAATAGAAGTTAGATTTTATCAAATGCCTTTCTGCAACTATTGATATTTTTCTTTAATCTATTAATATAATGCCAGTTAAATTCAATTGTTAGAGCCTTTCAGTTTAACTATACCCTTAATGAAATGTTTGACTGCTGAATCTGTCAATTATTGGTGAGGGTTGATTTGTCCTACTCTTGACACTAGATTTGTCAATTTTTGCCTCACACAATTTGATGCTCTGCTGTTCGGCATATATGCACAATTCAGGATTCTAACTTGGAAAACTGACCATTTTGTCATCTGGTAATACCCCTTGTTTTTATGCCTGAGAAGTTACCTTGCTAAAATCTACTTTATCTGAAATACAGCTATGATAGGTAGCTAGCATGGGGACTGGAGCGTCCATACGCATGCTCAGAGGTTCGAGCTTCTGGCCGGGAAGGGGTGGTACATAGGTGGGCCTTACACCTGGATTGGCCCATCTAAGCCAGGTGAATTTGATTCAGCCAATGAGGTCGACCAGTGTTGTCGATCATGCCTCCCAACAGGGCCCCTGAAAGGCCAGAGGTTTTGCACTGGGCTCGCCCTTTCCCAGCGGCTGCTACACAATGTAGCACAGGCGGGCTGTGGTCAAGAGCGGCCAGGCCGCAGTCCTGCAACTGTGCTGTGGACTCTGGCTTGTGTTCCATTTACTATAGAACCTGAGACTGCTGCTATTCTCTACAAACCCACTTGGATCACAAACAGGCTTCGGCGTGAATTCATTCTCGGAGGAGCCAAGGACCGAGGTATAGCTCTCCCCCGAGAGATCTCACAGCTATTCCAGCTCTCTTTTGATTAAATGTATTGGTATGTGTCATTCCTCATCCCTTTGTCTTTTATATTTAAAGTGGATTTCTTGTAGACAATATATAACATGCATATCTTTTACTCTACTGTTTAATTGGTATACTTAGATCATTCACATCTAAATTTAATTATTGATATTATTGAATTCTTATTTTTTAAGAAATGAAAAATATAAAACAACAAATAAACTTTGGACCACCACCACCAAAAAAAAAAGTTTCTCATAGGGACTGGGGGCAGAGGAGAGGGGTGGGGTGGACTGGAGAAATCTAAATATCAACGGTATATTAGAAACTATGGAACTACTGTTAATATTTTTAGGTGTAACACTGGTATTATATGGCCACATGGGTAAATGGCCTTACTCTTAGAAAATACACACCCAGTGATTAGGGATGAAGTCACGAGGTGCCAATGCACTTTCAAATGGTTCATCACACACACACACACACACAAGAGTACATATATTTGAAATTTTTATGCTACACTTAGACATAAATCAGTTAATTAGTGGTGTGAAAGATGCACCTAAGGTAGTACACACATAAAATTTTCACAAAATGGATCCTACCATATATTCAAAACTGTCATCGTATTCTTAAAAGGGTAAAATTCTGACTATATCAAGTAGAAAATGTTTAAATCAGCATCCAATCAGTGCAGTGTTCAGAAATATGCTGAGTTATTTAATGGTATACTATTGTATTTAGCTTTAAAAGTAGCAGCCTTGTACCTTACGAGACTAATACTGAATTTGTAAGTCACCTTTCAAAGATCAGAAGAGCCAGTAATTAATAAAGACAAGTGTTCAGATTTATTTGGAAATTCACAGTTTCTAATGGCACTACAGCTCTGTAGTTACATATTGTAAGTCTTCTCTCCACAACACTGGATGCTGCACACAGATAGTGTAACTTCCCACTCTACCTCTGCTCAGAACTGGGTCTCCTTCAATGGGCTTCTATACAATCAAGCCCTCTTGCTCTGAATGGCTAACTGTGCAGACTGGAGGGAAAAAAATTAAACCATCTAAAACATACTGTTAACCTAACATCAAAGCAGCAACTTGAACAAACAAAAAGGGTGTTAAATAAGTCACATTACAAACAATATCCAAAGGTAGGTATTTGACAAGTTCATCAAGTTATTACTAAAAGTGCTCAATAAGTTATAACTTAAATCTTACAACACAAAATGGCTGATTCTCTCCCCTTCAAAAAAGAAACATGTTCTGCTTGCACTCCTTACTGCACAATCACACACTAAGACATCATTTTCAGTCAATTATTTTTTAAAGGGGGGGCGGCAAAATGCAGACAGACACATTGACATCACACATATATACCTCTGCACATGTGTAGCCCAAACAAAGCAAACATCAAGGAATAGTCCCTTTAGATCTGACCAATTAGAAAAGGCTTTTCAAACTCACAAGCTGATTCTGTGTCTATGCACATAGGCAGTGATTACATCATATGAGATTCGGACTCATTTGCCAAAACTTCACATTTTGTATTGGTAGTATTAGACACAATGACCTGAAAGTTTGGGAGTTTAGTGTTTATTGTGAATCTTTAAAATGTTGTATAGCTAAAGAAGATCGCTACAAGTGGCTAAATGTCTCTTAGGTAACCAAGAAAAGACCTTGTAGGGTGGTTCATGTTTTATCTCATTAAGTTAGTAACTAAGTGAAAAAGTAATCCAATCCAAATGAGTTCAATAAAAATCATTACTAATAACATCACCATTTACCTAAAAAATAAATTTGAAAATCTTGAGTGTTTATAGTGAGTGAGTTTGCTAAACAGAAATCTAATTGGCAAGTTTTTTTGGATCTTTACACTGTCTGACCCACATTGCTAAGCTTTCAGCACAGACCACCTTAAAGCCGTGTAGTGTTTGCAGCTTCCAAACTAACAAAGTTATAAAAGAAATCAAATGACAGAAAAGTTCTCCCTCCTCTTCCAGTGGCATTATAAATAGACAAAAGGCACATAAATATGGGAAGGTGCAAGAAATAGGAACAAAGCTAAAGGAAGAAGTTTAGGCTTTCATTCCTACCCCACCCAAGGAACTGGGTTTTCCATATTACTTTTGTCCCAGTAATTTATCTGTGAAAAAGCATCTTTAAAAAATGTCTACCATTGTCATAGTAGGAAGTGTTCAGCCCTGTCAAACTGTGCTTCAATTACCAAGATTGACACAATCCCTCTACTTTTTGAACAGGTAGAACCATAATTTCTGAATACTTCTCCCATTAGTCGCTTCTCCCCGCTCAGCCCCTTCAAACACCACAGACTGCTCCTGAAAGAACAAAAGAGTCTCCAGTATGAAAAGCTCCACTGATTTCAGATGTGTCCCGAGACTGCTGTCACACCAAATGTTCCCACAGTCATCTCTTTGTTTCCTTTAATGATGTCGTGCAGGCTGGGCAATGATCCTGACTTAGTCTGTAGGAGAGTTTTTATCAATTGTCCTTGGTCTTGGACTTTAGATCGCCTTCGCTTTAAAGCCCTCTTCTCCGTCTTTGTCTTTTGGGACTGTCCGTTGCACAGACTTGTGCACGCTGAGATGCCACAGAAATAGGACTCTTCTGACTGCGATGACGTCTCGGAGCTTCCTTCCGACGGAGGCCCCTTGTAGGAAGAGTGATACACTTCTCCCACGGTCGAAAACCCTCTCTGGTTCGTAAAGGGCTTCCTTCTTTTGATGTCTCCATTGGCTATGGGGTGCGGTGGGTCTGCGGGTGTGATGGTCTCAATTTTTTCTGTTTTGTACTTGCAACGTTTCTTCTGTAGTATTTGTAAAAAAATAATAATAATGACTAAATAAGGGTAGGAATCAGATCTCCAAAGTTATCTCATCAAATACCTTAGAATGGAATTAAAGGTGGAAAGTGCCCTCTCCTGGTGAAAAGTAAAACAGCATTATTAACAGCATGTATACACAGGAGTTTGAAAGTTTGTGGAAAATAGAATGAAAAGATAATGGAATTTGACCATGTTATTTTTGAAGTTCCCATGTATATACTGCTATTTCTAAATAGACAGCATCATTACCTTCTCATTTTGTAAATATTATTACCCCAAACCCTTTTGTGCCAGATATATCTGGTTGCTTTCAGGCATAGCTTACTTATTAACTCTGAGAGGGAGGTTATTTCATCCCTGGTCACTAGATGAGAAAACAAGCTCAGAACTCTGGCTCCTTGCCTGTTATAAAATATTAAGTGGCCTCATTAGGATTCAATCTTGGGCTATTTGGCTCTAAAGCCAAACTTAAAAAAAAAATTTAATGTAGACACAGTTATCTCTAATCAAAATGAGAATAGCTGCAGAAGCAAAATAGAAAGAGTAAAAACTCTGTAGCCAAAAAAGTTTATTTTGTCGCTTATTTGACATGAGTCATTTAAAGATAACACAAAATCTCTGCGTTTCAGTTTTCTCATCTGAAAAATGGGGGGGAACCATCTCCAGACAGTTGTGAGAATTACAGGAAGGCAGCATGCACTGTGCTTGTAATGCATTACATAATAAGTCATGGCTGTCAGTCAGCATTGGCAAACCTTTTCTGTACACTGCCAGACAGTAAATATTTTAGGATTTTCAAGTCACATGCTCTCTCTGTTGCATATTCTTTTTATGTTCTAATCCTTTAAAAAATGTAAAAACTCTTTCTTAGCTGCAGGCTATGTATACACATTACAGGCCACAAGCTAGATTTACACTATTACTAGGGCTGAAAACATTGTTTATGGGCAACTTAAGGGTTATATTAAACCCTTTCAACCTCATTTATTCTTGTATTACCACATATTATATCAATATACTTAAAAGGAGACAAAATATTACCTTTTTTTCTGGTGAGAACTTCAGGGGTTCTACGATGTACAAATCATTTGGATCTACTATAGATAAGAAAAAAGAAAGATATAAAATGAAAAGAAGGTTATACTATGATTAAACACTACAAAACAGGATATTTTCCCCTAATGATTATTTTCCCAATAGGATCGAAAAATGTACCCGGTTAACCATGTTACTGCATTTGAAGTTAGTAGGCCAAAACAAGCAGGGCAATAAATGCACTTCGCTGTCACTTTCAACCGTCTCTGTTCCCTTAAGTTTTCAACAAACAATTGGCCACCGGCCAAATGTGCAAACGTCGGTTGAGGCCACATACAGGAGGAGCCAGAGAGGGGAGCACACACACAGCGCAACCAAGGGATGCTTTCCGCTGCCTAAGGTGAACTAAGAACGCCAAGACGTGCATGACGGTCCAATCACATACACACTGCAGGCATACTGAGTAAATTAGTCCTATTTGCCTTTTAGGTTTAAGTTTCTTAGATTTCATTTATTTTAAGCACTTTCATAACAACTCCTATTCTACCATCACATGGACAAGATAAACGCACATATAAAAGAATATGGCTATGAGATTTATAAGACTATTCATCCAAGTATACTTTTTTTACACTGTGTCCAAGATATTTGGTGAGAAAATAAATTAAATACGAATTGTTTTTTAAAATCACCCAAAAAACTAAACATCTATACAAAGCTAGCAGAACTCCCAGGGCAATACTGAAGAAAAATTTGGAACCCAGACAGACATATAGAACAAAAGTCACTTTTGTCTGAGGGACTATGCCAATATAAAAAACCATAAAACTTTAGTTTTGATTACCTCATAGGAAATAAGTCAGAAATCAAATGACAGAGTCCAAAGTAATAGTCTCATAAAAATATGCCCCATGCGTCCTTCCTATCAAAATCTGGGGCAGTAAGGAGCTTTCCCAGACCCCAACTTCCGAGTGAGAGCAAGGAAGGAAGGGAAAAACCCATCTGAGAGTAGTCAAAAGATAGGCTATACCTTTATGCTAATAAACTTTACCATTCACATGAAATCATCAACTTCCCAGACATGGCTTACATACTGGGGGAAAGCCTGGTTCCTGAAACCTGAGTTAAAGCTAAAAACCTCTTCTAGACTTACATGACTTTACTGATCCTCCAAAAAATAATTACTCTCCACTTACTGCTAAACACATGGGGTGAGGTGGAAGTAGTATTGCCCATCCAATTCATGAATAAATGTAAATTTCCTAATTATGTAAAAAAATTTAGTCTACACACAAAATACACTGTACAATTTTTTGAGAATGTAATGCTAGTTTAATTAATCAATTATGTAATTAATTTCAACAACATATTTAAAAATAATCAACCTAAAAGGTTCAGAAAAAAATATTTGGTAAAATTCAGTCTAGATTCACAAGGGAAAGGAACTATTAGCGAACAGGAAATACAGGGTGAAACAATGAAAGGTTCTCCTTCAAGAGTAGAAATAAAAGAAAGGTGCTGATCACGATCAACCACTTGTAGCACTGCTGCTGAAATGCTAGCTACGGTGTTAGGTAGCAAGAGACAGAACAGTTGTTCAGACTGGAAAGGAAGAAATAAAATTGTCTTAATTCTCAGATGTGCTTGTATTTACAGAAAACCCCAAATAACCTACCATTGAAACATGGTTGTTATATTATATAAATTCAATTTACAAAAGCCAATTCTATTTCTACAGGCCAACAACAAACACACACACACAAATGTATTGTTTACAACAGTATGAGGGGGCTTTAAAAAGTTTGTGAAAAAACTGATTAATAGATTTTTTCCAAATTTATATGGAAATGTAAAGAGGGAAAAATGATCAAGAAGCTTCATTCAAGGGAGAGAACTTTTTATAGCAGATAAAGAAGACTTATTTCCAAAAAACTCACTGCCACCGAGTCAATGCTGATACAGTGACCCCAGTAGGTGTCTGAGATTGTAACTGTTTGCTAGAGTAGAAAGTCTAGTCTTTCTCCTGAGGAGCTGCTGGTGGTTTCAAACTGCCAACCATGTGGATCACAGCCCAACGCCTAACAAACACCATTACACTACCAGGGCTCCTAAAGACTTACTTAGAAATAATAATTATTAATGTAACATGCTAGTGATCACCAACCCAAACCAAACCTACTGCCATGTAGGTGATTCTGACATAGTGACCCACTATATGGTTTCCAAGACTGTACAATTTTACAAGAGCAGAGAGCCTCATCTTTTTTGCCTGAGAAGCCAAGCAACTGGTAGCTTTGACTGCTGATATTGTGGTTAGCAGCTCTGTGCCACCAGGCTCCTTGCTAGTGATACAGAGAATGACAAATTGTACTCCAAAATCCAAACTCATTGCCATCAAATCGATTCTGACTCACAGTGACCCTGTAACTCTTTATGGGAGTAGAAAGCCTCCCATATCTCTTGCAGGGTGGCTGGTGATTTTGAACTGCTCACCTCATGGTTAGCAGCCCAACACATAGCCCACGATGCTACCAGATCTCCTTGACAAATAGGGCAGACACAGAAACATGTATATATGGCTTAAAAGCTACTCAGTGGCAAGGGGGTTGGGAACATGTACTGTATATCACTTCTGAATCTGACACAAGTGGCACCTCACAGCCATGAGGAAAAAGACAGTCTTGCTAATTAATTATTCTAAGAATACTTATATGCAAAGGTATTTATACCTATATAAAAAGTTTGTGGAAAAAATGGAATTAAGAGACAATTGGCATGTTTAGCTACCGTGTAAAGTTTTGTATGGAAACCTTTTATAATCAACCAACAACTAGTATCCAAATTTTAAAAAGACCTATAAATGATTAGAAAAAGAGAACCCAATAAAAGAATTGGCAAAAACTTAAAAATGTCTAGGGCAGCCAAGTAACCAAACCCACCTACGCAATCAAGTCAACTGTGACTCCTAGCAACCCTGCGCAGGGTTTGAAACACCAACCTATGGTTAGCAGTCTAATGCTTACCCAACAGTGCCACCTAAAGGTCTAACTCAAGATGTTCAATTCCCTGCATAATCAGATTAATGCAAAATATTAATAATAATCTGCATTGAGATTAACAAAAATTTTAATTTAATCATTTCAAATGTTGGCAAGAATGCACAGCAAAGGAAACTCAGTGTGGCAGAAACATAACCACTTTGAAAGACCATTTATTATTTCATAACTTGCAGCTATGGACACCCTACAGGCCAGCAACTTTATACCTAGGCAATATTCCTAATAAGAATACAAAGATGGAATGTTTACACTATCCTGATTTATAATCATACCAAACTTAAGCAACAGTAGAATGGATAAATAACTGTGATTTAGGTCAGTTACTGAACTATTACACAGTATTAACAATAAACCACAGCTATGTGTAATAATGAGTTTTACAAATAAAATACAGAATGAAGACAAAAAAAGAATATGTATGGCATGGTTCAGTTCCATTTATCAACAGTTCAAACAGGCTAAAAACATACTGCTTAGGAATTAAAGCAACATGGTAAAATCTAAGAAAATCAAGAACATAATTACCCTACAAGTCAAGACAGTAACTGTCTGGAAAGAGGGTTTCAAGAGTGCTATGCTCCATTTCTTGGCCTGGATAGCCATTACATGGGCATTCACTTACCGTATATACTCGAGTATAAGCCGACTTTTTTCAGCACATTCTAATGCAGTTTTTGGTGGTTAAAATTAGGTGTCTTGGCGGATATTTGGGTCGGCTTCTACTCGAGTATATATGGTAAGTTAAATAATTTGCTTTTAAGAACTTTCAGTAGTTTTCTACTTAAAAGATCAAAATCATTTTGTTCCACCTGGAGATCTCACGATGATATAAACAGTTAATGTCCTCAGAAGCTAAATGGTTGGGGTTGGGGGTGGGGGTGGCGGCGTACTAAGAGTGCTCTCAGAGGTGCCTTGGAAGAAAGGTCTGGCAGCATATTTCCAGATATCCAATGAAGCACACCTTGAGTCTCAATCAACTAAACGGCAACTGGTTACTGGTTTTGGTCCATCTGGACAATCAACAAAAGTGTATCAGATCAGAGCATAAACTTGAGGAGAGTGAGGATGAGTACTAGAGAAAAATGCTTAGAATAAATGCAATTTATATAACACATCAATTATCTAAGTACAATTTGGTATAAAAAGAAGACAGGATCTCTTCTCACAGAGCTTAGTGGTGGCGCTAGCTACCACTGAGTGGATTCTGACTCATAATGACCCTAGCCCTCCCTCCCCCCATGGCAGAGTAGAACTGCCTCATGGGGTTTTCTGGCTGTAATCTTTAGAGAAGCTGATCTAGCTTGTTACCCCCACCCCCACCTCCGGCAGAGCCATAGAGCTGAGATGAAAAAGGCAAATATAGGATCATTAAAATCAAAGCAAACTATGATGCATTTCCTAAGAAGAATGTAATTTAAACAGGAAAAGAATAAATTGAATTAATTAGTAGCAGACTCAGTATTTTTTTTTGCATTTTCCTCACCAATGTAGTTTTTTTATTTTTATTTTTTATTTTATTATTATTTTTTTAACATTTTATTAGGGGCTCATACAACTGTTATCCCAATCCATACACACATCAATTGTGTAAAGCACATTTGTACATCGTTTCTCAACATTTTCTCTCCAGTTAAACCCCTGACATTAGGTCCTCATTTTTCCCCTCCCTCCCCGCTCCCCCCTCCCGCATGAGCCCCCAATAGTTTACAAATGGGTATTTTGTCATATCTTGCCCTGTCCGACGCCTCCCTTCATCCACTTTTTGGCCGTCTGTCCCCCAGGGAGGAGGCCACACACAGCTCCATGTAATCGGTTCCCTCCTTCCCACCCATTCTCCCTTTACCTTCCCTGTTTTGCCACTCACACCACTGGTCCTGCAGGGCTCATCCGTCCTGGATTCCCTGTATTTTCAGTTCCTATCAGTACCAGTGTACCTCCTCTGGTCCAGCCAGACTTGCAAGATCGAATTCGAGTCATGGTAGTGGGAGCGGGGAGGAAACCTTTAGGAACTAGAGGAAAGTTGTATTTCTCATCATTGTTACATCGCACCGTGACTGGCTCATCTCCTCCCCGAGACCCCTCTGCAAGGGGATCTCCAGTGGCCTACTAATGGGCTTTGGATCTCCACTCCGCACTCCCCCCATCATTCACTATGGTAAGATTTTTTGTTCTGATGATGCCTTACACCTGATCCCTTCGACACCTCATGGTTGCATAGGCTGGGGTGCTTCTTCCATGTGGGCTTTGTTGCTTCTGAGCTAGATAGCCGCTTGATTACCTTCAAGCCTTTAAGACCCCAGACGCTATACTTTTTGATAGCCGGGCACCATCAGCTTTCTTCGCCACATTTGCTTATGCACCCATTTGTCTTCAGTGATCCGTTCGACACCCCGTGATCACACAGGTTGATGTTGTTCCATGTGGGCTTTGTTGCTTCTGAGCTAGATGGCCGCTTGTTTACCTTCAAGCTTTTAAGACCCCAGACGCTATATCTTTTGATAGCCGGGCACCATCAGCTTTCTTCACCACATTTGTTACGCACCTGTTTGTCTTCAGTGATCAGGTCAGGAAGGTGTGCAAATAGAATGCCAATTTACTAGAACAAAGTATTCTTGTGTTGTGGGAGTACTTGAGTGGAGGGCAGACTCAGTATTAAAACCAGTCTCTTGCCTAATGTACTTAATTTTCTTTACTTGTAAAGACGAACTAAGATGGCACAGTTCTTTAAAATAATAAGTAAATAGATCAGATTCAAAAAACTATTCCATTTGCCCTTCAAAGTTTAGACACAACAATGGGAAGCAGTAAAATAGCCATGATTTCAGTGAATTTAATCTCACACTACAAATGCTGAGAGGAAAACATCTCCAACACACTCCGTAACTGCATCATTAGCTTTCACACATAGCTGATGGGGATGTAAGTGCACGTAAAGGTCTAGGAAAGACTGAATACCCCTACTTCATGATCCAGAAATAAGGAGCTCTGGTGGCATGAGGGTTACGTGTTGGGCTGCTAACTGCACGGCCAGCAATTCACACTCACCAGCCACTCTAAGGGAGGAAAATGAAGTTTCCTGCTCCCGGGAAGATTTACAGCTTTGGAAACTCAGACGCAGTTCTACTCTGTCTTATAGGGTCACTATGAGTCAGAATTGACTCAAAGGCAATGAATGAATATGATCCAAATATCCTATGTTGAGGCGTAAGAGGTGTGTGTGGGGCGCTGCTGAAGTACAGGAGGTATTGGGGGTGGAGTTCAAAATGTTCATGGGAAAATGCCAGTATCTTTTAGTTGTATTTTTTCATAAACTTTCTAAAGGTCCTCATATGCCCAATAGAAACATATATACACATATGTTCACCTCAAATGATAAAAAAAGCACAACTGGAAATAAAATAATAATGCTCCTGCAAAATTCTTCTCTAATGAAATACCTACAGGAATCAGAATAAATCATAATTGTTCTCCATGGCACTGTGAATCTCACAATCAGTACTTAGAAATCCAAATACAGTGAACCCTCGCCAGTTCGCGCTTCGACTTCCGCGGCTTCACTCTATCGCGGTTTTTGCGTAACAGCGCATGCTCTGTCAT